TGTGGGTGGCAGAGCCAGTATGAGGATCAGGGTCTTCCCACTCCCGGTGCAGTCCTCCCTCAACCCTCATTTATTTGGGAGACTGAACTCTTTGAGAGGTGCTGAAATGTTTACACCAGAGATGCCAGAGCCCCAGCATATGCACCATTCCTATCAGTCAGCCAGCAAAAGTTAACCATAGCCATCTTTCACTGAGCACTTTACTATGGGCTATAGTCAACGCTAAAGGTTGTCCCTGGGCTATTTCCATTTACCTCACAACAACCTGGAGAAGTAGGTTCTATTATTGTCTACTTTACTGATGAAGAACCTGAGACCCAGAGAGGTTAAGTAATTTGCCCGTGGTCTCACAGCAAGTAACTGGCAGCCCCTTACCCTTTTCACTTTACTGCCATCTACTGTGCTCAGTCACGAGTGATAGGAAACCTGGAAAGAGCAGAAGTCCAGGCCTGATCCTTGAAAATCTTATAATATACATCAGGACAGGAGTGAGCTAATATTTATTGAGTGCCCAAAGCAGGATCGAGACCTTGCTGGGTGTTTTACAGACCACAGTGGTATTACCTAAGCCTCAGGGCACTTCTGAGCTCTAGGATTCTACGGCTCGTGCTCTATGCGCTAAAGGACAGAGTAAGAGGGTAGATACATCACTACTATACACATGCACCAATGAATCAGATGGTGCTGCGTCTAAGGGGGGTGGGACGGGGTAACCAGCCAAGGCCTGGCAGAGCACTTGGATGTATGACAGGTCCATCACCAATCCTTTTTAGCATGACTTCGGCTCTCCGCAATAGTTAGCACAGCAGCGTGGCATGGTAGAAAACAGAGGTACTTTGCAGCAACACTCGTGCATTTCTTTCCCCATTCCGTTGTATTCTGGTTATACAGCTATGGGTAAGTCAGATAACACTTCTAAGCTTTAGAAGTAGATTTTTTAAAAAAAATAAATTTACTTATTTTATTTATTTATTTTTGGCTGCGTTGGGTCTTCGCTGCTGCGCAAGGGCTTTCTCTAGTGGCGGCGAGTGGAGGTAGAAGTAGATTTAATAATGATTCTCTTTGCAGGATTGGTGTGAAGGCTAAATCTGAGTATTGAGGCAGAGTGCCCCGTGCTGCTGCTTAGAAATACGGGTACGGACAAGTAATTTAAACTCTGGGCCTTAGTTTCTTCATCTGTAAAATGGGAGTATTGAGGCAGGGAGTTAACTGTAGTAGAACAAAAGCACAGGCTTCGGAGTCAGATTACCCACATTCGATTCCCGGTTCTGTCACTGAGTAACTGTATGATGCTGGGCAAGTTCTTTGACCTCTTTGAGCCTCAGTTTCACATCCACAGAATAGTACTCATAGTTCCTACCGCATAGCATCATTAGGCATATCCAACAAGTTCTATGTAAAGTGCTCAGAAGAGCACCCAACACTCAATGTGTTTGCTATTGTTATTATCTTGAAGTGTTATTGTGAGGATCCAAACCACTCAATGAAAGCACAGGGAACTGAACAGACTAGATGCTCAATAAACTTGTAGATGTCTGCCGTGTTCAAGTCTAGTATGTCTTCCCCTGTCCTCTGATAACAGAATTACTCTTCCTTTTGGGAAACCCATTCCCAGGCCCCGCACACCCTCATCTGCAAACAACTGTGATGGACGCATGGCCCAAACCTGGTCAATCAGAGGACACCACCTCACCAGCAACAGCATCTGCTCAGAGCTGGACGTGCGACCAAGGTAAGCAACTGACCCTCAGTTCTTTCCTGCAGGACTGTTGTCGAGGACACCCTCTCCACCCTGGTTGCTAGGTTACTGCCCTCAGAGTCTTCTGCTTTTGCCTGCCATCCTGTGCTCTCTTCCTAGGGCTGGGGGGAGTGAGATGAAGTCCCGATGACACTGCCCTGCTCCTGGATCCAGCTGTTCCTAAAGCCAACATAACTACCACTGGCCTTCCCATGCACATTAACTAACATATTTCCCCTCTGAGTTAAACTAATTTGTCACATTTCTGCCACTTACTAGTTAGTGATAATATTATCATCATATATATATAATAGGTTCTCAATAAATATTGTTTCCCTTTCCCATCACTACATGTCTTATTATACGACCATAGCCTTTCCAAAAGGTATTTTTCAGATAATCATTGACTATTAAGCAGTCTTTGTCTATAGATCTAATAAGAAAAGGTGCGTCAGAATTGCTGTTTAAACCACATGGCCGACTGTGGAGGAGACGGCCACCCAGCAGCCCCATTTAGCATTCCCTGGAAAACGGCTCACTGCATCTATTGAGATGCGGTGCTCTTTTAAAACAGAGCCAGTGGCATATGTATACACACTCATGATTGCACATTTATTGATTTCTAATTTGCACCCTGCTTACTTCCAAAAAGGCCCTGGAGTGGCTGACAAAATGAGACAAAGACACAATAGGGTCATTAAGAAAAATCAAAGATCAAGCCCAGGGAGAAAAAGGGATTGCTGATTATAGCCCAAACCTGGGTTAACAGAGCTGCTTCAATGAACAAAAATATGTATTTAGCTCTTAGCTCTTTGGCGGCCGTTCAGAATGTGTCGTGACGGGGCACACAGAGAACTGGGCAAACTTCATATCTGCAGTTTAACACCCAGCACAGAGGCCAGGCTGGAACAAGCACCTGGGAAAAGCTTATTGAATGAACAAATGAACAAACAAACGAATGAGTGAATGAAGGAATGGTGGATAAAAGATTCAAAGTTCCCTCAGAACACGGTTCATACCCTGAGGCCTGTATCATTCATTTATTCATCCACCCATTCCCGAGTGCCTATGTGTCACATTGGGCCTGGCTGGGGACCTGGAGAGGGACAGAAACCAAAATGAGCCAAACGTCCTCCCTGCCTTCCCAGCTGCAGCTCTCTGGCCTGAGGACAAAAGCTCCGTGTAACAGATCTCAGGGCCCACGGCAGCTCCTGGTTTCTTCATGTCTCCCAGGGAAAGGAGATTAGAAACAAGTTGTGAAGATGGGAATTGTAGGAGTAACAATAGCTATCTTGCTAATTGCACTCACACAGCACTTTAAACCCTAGAAAATGCATGCCCACCATAATCTCATCGGATACACGGACAGCTCCTTGGTGAGGTGGGTAGAAGGGAAGATGAGGCATCTCCCGTTTACTGATGAAGACATTGAGGCACAGAAGGGAAAGTGGCTCTCCCGACCTCTTTCAGTTAGAAAGTGGCCTTTAGGACACTGGACTTTCCCATGCCCCTGTGCTACCTGCCTGGGCCTGGCCCCCAGCATGGCAGAGGCCTGTTATCACGGCCGGAAACTCCTCCTCTGCCTGGATCAAGACCAGCCCCGCCTGAAATGGGCCTCACCTGATGGCCATGGGGAGCAAGAATCAGCCCCCCTGACCTCCTGCAGCAACTGGAACTCTCAGACCTACCCGCTCAAAGCTGCCCAGCAGCCCCAGTCCCATAAGCACCTTTTACTTGCCTCGAAAGTGACGCTGAGATTCCAGAAGAACAGCATACAGTCTGCGTTATTTAGTTAAAAGCAGGTTGAAAAGCACAAGGTAGTGCTGGGTGGAGAGATGGCTATTAGGTGAGCATTTAAGGAAAGAACTGTAAAGGGAAGAGGAAGTTAAAAACCAGAGTGGTTTCCCCATCTGCCCAGTTGCTGTTGCTCATTCGGGCCAGCAACAGCACCTCATGAACCCTCACGTCCATCAAGGTGGATTCAGAGCCGAAGAGTGGAAAGGGAGGTATGCTCTTCCCCTCATTTAGCACAGTCAGCCGGGTGGACTGGGCAAGAGAAAGGGAGGGCCAGCAAGAGGGGAGACCGTGACGAAGTACAGGTGTCCCCCAGAGAAGGCAAGCAAGGCCGCGGTACCCTTGACACCCCAGCCAACCCCAGTCCGTTCTTGTTGCAGCCAAGTGTCCTTGAAAGCACATTTATGTATATAGTCTCTGTGTGTGTGTACAGAGAGAGATACAGATTCCTAATTCAGAACTCATTCTTAAGTGCACATGCAAACATGCGTTTCGTATTTCCCAATTTATCTCCATGCATCGGCGGACTGCATACGGAGGTATTAAACACGGCCGTTGGAAATGAGAAGGGTGGCTACCACTTTGCAGCCTCCCCAGTAAAGGTCAGAGTCCTCCCAGCCAGGCCGTACATCTCCCTGCCTGACTGCTAAGCAGTCGGACACTTGTTGCTCCAGCCGGAAAGTCAAGCCTTGGGCGACCAATTCACCCCATAACGTACACTAGTTACTGCCGGTAGGACTTTCAGGTTCGAAGTCATGGAGTTGTTCACTGTCAGTAATTAGCACTTGTCTAATAACCCCAATCTACGAATCACAATCTCCATCGCGACGTGCATCTCCAGCTCTTCAGTATCCAAACTCTCATGCTGAATAAACACACAGAGAATCTGCAAGTCTCCCCCCACCCCCCATCATACCCTGGACCATTCTGAAGATAAAGCAAAATTCAAAGTGTTTCTTTCTTTTCCCACAAAATCACAGATCTCCAGACCCAGGGTTCCCGGACTGGCAGCGGTTGGAAGCAGGCAAAGGGCAGGAATCCTTCTAGCCAGCAAGGAGGTGAGGTTGAAATGCTTAACCCAAACCACTGCCCTCCTCCGAGACCACTGGCAGTCTTGTGTGAATCAATTCACCTCCAAGCCTACCCTCAGGGCATTTCCCTGAGGTTAATTCAGACCCAAGTTAAAAGGAAGAGTTTCTCCTTGCAAAGGAGAGATGCACTACCACAGGTCCACAGCCCTCACCGGCCACTTAAGCGGATGATCTGGGAAGGACGGACGCAAGAAAGGCGGGCTGGAGGGGAGTGTGAGGACCCAGCACGCTGAAGCCTGGCTCCAAGCGCCCACGTGCGCGGACTCACTGCCAAGGTCCACACGGCTCAGGGCTCCCCACGCTAAGGCAACCGCATCCTCGGCGTCAGCAAAGCCGGGCAAGACACCAGGTGGGGAACACAACTCCATTCTACTCACAGTCTGGTGAGCTTCGGGTTGCTCTGGAAAAGCAGTTCCGGGAGGACCTGGAGTTTATTCTTGTTCAGGCGCCTGAAGGGGGAAAAAAGAATGAAAAGATGTCAAGGGGACATGAAACGGGATCAAGAGTATTTACAGACACCCCTTCGGCCAATCGATCAACAGGTATTAAGAGGCTTCTAGATCTTTCAACGTGGGATGCTCAGCACGTGTAAGGCACACTCTTAACGCGCGGAGCTGGGAGTCAAGTTGGCGATAAAAAGGCAAAGGTCAGTCAGAAGCAGGAACACAACACGCTTGCTGCCACACCCCCCTTCACGAGCCTCGGAGAGGCATCACTAACTGATCAGGACATTCTTTCCCACGAACCTCAGACAGGCTTTTGAACTTTTCTCAACATGTGCCTGCGGTAGCTAGCTATTGCCAGGTGATGGAATGGGCATGTGAAATGGGTCTCTAAAAATAAACAAAATACCAGAGAGAATATTCCAGATCCTAAGTGGTGAGGACAGGTGGGACAGATAGCAGTCGTCATAGGAACAGAGAAGAGGGTGGGGCAGATCACCAGGGGTTAAAGGGCCAAATGTAGTCCCTGCCAGCCTGGCTTTTCAGACCAGAGCTGGGCTGCGTTATGACTGCCATGGACCCTGGGCATTTTTGCCTTTGTGGGCCCCTTCCCCTATTTAAAAAAATTAAATATTGTATTTTATAACTGTGTTGGTATAAAAACAAATATATTAATATTATATAACATTTACTTTGACCTGAACACTCATTCCTTTCCTCTAATTTTAAAAGAAATTAAACCATTTTCATAGGTCCCTAAAAAGTACTGTCGGCCCTGGGTACTGTCCCCGCTGTGCTTAGATGGCAAAGTTGGCCCTGGGTCAGGGATCACGGTCTAGGTGTGTAGACCCGGAGGCAAACTCAGTCCAGGAGGGGTGTCCCACGTTGGGTGGTGGCAGCAGAGCCAGACTCTCTCCTGAGAACGGTCCATGCTGATGCCCACAGAAAAGAAGGCCATCTGAGTTTCTGAGGGACCGTAAGTCACTGTGGTCTCCACGAAGCCTGCTCTCCCGGGAGTGTGAGGCCAAGAGGGAAAGCCTGCCCCGTGCTCATTCCCAGGCCTCTCTGTCCAAGCATCTTTACGCAGCCTAATCAGGGAAGCCCAAACCAGTGTCCCCGAATCTCCTGTCCCCAGAATCCTCAGAATCTCACTCTTCAGAATCTCCCTGTGCAAAAGAGCAGTTTACAGCCCGGCTGAACTTCTCCGCTTAAATTGTGCACATTTGGCTACGTGGAAAAAACGTATTATCCCATCTTAGAGCTAAGCGAACTGAAGAGAAGAAAAGGTGAGCTTCTTCCCAGCTTCTGTCCCCAAAGCCCACACTTCGTCCACCACATCATGCAGACATGATCCGCTGGGGGTCGGGGGGATTGCTATTTTCCCCTTTTCGTTCCAGGTTGAAGGACAAAAACTTCAGAGGGATAGGGGACTAGAAGGAAGTTTGAAAGGGCAGAGCATGTGAGAGGAGCATTCACCACCTCAAGTCAGAAGTGTGCAGCTCAGCCCTGACAGGGTCCACGTGGTGCGGGGCAGGGGTGGACCAGCGGAGCTGTTGGTGACACTCCTGACTGGAAGGAAGCCTGAGAAAAGGCTGGCAAGTTGGACAAGATAAGCTCAAATGCCCTGCCCCACCGAAACGGCGACCTGACTCCCTGTGCTCTTTTTTGTTTTGTTTTGTTTTCGTTTGTTTAATTGTGGTTAAAACGAAAGCCCTAACATAAAATTGACCATCTTCACCATTTTTAAGCGTCCAGTTCTGTAGTGTTAAGTATATTCTCACTGCTGTGCAGCAGATGTCCAGAGCTTTTTCATCCTGCAAATCTGAAATGCTGTACCCATTAAACAACACCACCCCAGGGCCCCTCCCCTCGTCCCTGGCAGCCACCATTCTGTTTTCTGTCTCTGTGGATTTGACCAGTGCTCTTTTGATCACTCCCAGTATCTGCTCTTTGTGTGTTCCTGTCACCAAAGTGGGAAGAAAGGGGGGAGCCCAGAGGAGAGGAGGGGGAGTCTAGCTCCTTGTCTAGAGCAGTTCTCATAGAGCCAGCGATAAGCCCCTTTCTAACACGGGGAAGCACTGGTCCCAGAGAAGGCGTGGTGCTATGACTTTGGGGTTGGTCACGCTGGGTTCAGGTCTGGCTCTATCATGCTCTCGCCATGGGACCTCGGGGAAGTTACCCAGCTCCTTGAGCCTCCGTTTTCCATCTGCCTAATAACCCTACTCAGTGAGTTACAGTAAGTTTTAATGACACACTGTATGCATAAGTGTCTAGCACTGCAATGAGAGCATGGCAATAATAACTGAAACGAGTTGCGGCACAAATGCGTGTCAGGCACTACGCCACGTGCTAGAGGGGTAGGATCTCAGGCAGCGCAGCTCAGAGGCTGGTGTCATAATTACCCGCACCTCACAGATAAAGACAGCGAAGCCTGGAGCGGTTGAGCCCGTTCTGCAAGGCCACTGTGACAGGATGTGGCGGAGGCAGGATGTAGACCCAGGGGGTCTGCCTCCAGAGCCTGGTTCTGAACCACTGTGTTCCTCGAAGGCTTTCAGTCTGTGACAGCTGCCTTCCCCTTCTTTCCTCCCCTCCCTAGTCTTCTTTTTGCCTCTGCTTCCTTTCATCCAGGGTTGCCACCTCCGCTGCCCCAGCCCAGGCAACCATCCACCCTGAGTACATTACCCTCCCTAAAAAGGATGCTCTTGGAGTCCCCAAGAGTAGAAGTGGGTCTCCAGGTGGGTCTGTCTGGAACCACCCTCTATTGCCACAGCTGCACAGAGCCTGGTGAGAGTTACACTCAGACAACCAACGCTCCAGTTTAGGCAAAAGTCCTGAAATCGGCCCACTGCTGCCCGCAGTGGGGAGGGTATTGAGTGTCCTAAAAGCTCAAAACCAGAGTTGAAGCTAAAAATAAAACCAGCTTGGCTCCGAGGCTCCAGGAAGGGAAGGAATCGTTTTCAGTTCTTTGCCGGTATTTGTGGCTGGACAAAAATAAAAACACAACCATATTTAGTCAGTTGTGTGCTGCCTGCTGCTTCATAAACCCTGAATGAGGATTCCAGGGTGGCTGAGCTGGGCTCTTCTCCCAAAAGCCTCAGGTCTTTCCACTTCGGCTTGGGCGGGCCGCATGCTGGGTCTCTGTATCAAGAGGAGCTCGACACGACATTTCATTTCTAGTTCATTCCATTCCAGGATTTATTTGTGTTTATTTAGTGAACCAAGTCGGCCTGCAAGGTCTTCCTCGAAGAGCTAAGAAAGGCTCCAAGCTGCGTAAGGTGAACTTCTCACGTGGCTGCTCTAAGAGCAGCTCCTGAACAGGAAAACGAACAGAGTGAAACGTGCTGTTCTCCTGAGAGGGACGGGTAAGCGCTGGGCCGCACACAGCGGCTACTGGTCAAGGCATCCTCCGTACTCACGCCATCTGCTGCTCTGTCACCCTGGAATCAGAGGCGGAAATCTGCCGTGGTTCAAGCTGGGAATAAATCCATGATGCCTGGATGAAGAAAAGGACTGAATGGGACCCGTAAGAGGGCAGACCTGAGGAGGTCGGCAGAAAGGCTATAGGCTGGGTCCATGATGGGATAAAGCCCACCTGGGTGTCCTCTCTCCCTCTAGGATCAACACTCCTTCTCAGCCTTCCTGCTGGAACAGTGGGGAGAATCCAGATCAAAAAAAAACCCACTGGCTGCTAGTTGCAAGGTCATTCTGCCTTTCGGCCTGAACTGGGAAGCTACAAGAAAGAGAGCCTTGTCTCTGCAGTACCACTGATGGCCGCGAGACCTACTTAGAGGTTTTCGCCACTTTATTGAATTCCTTCATGTATCTATCCATTATCCATTCATAAATCCACCCTCTACCCATCTGTCTGTCCATCCGTCCGTCCGTCCGTCCACCCATCCATCCATCCACTATTCTATCCAACCGTTCACCTATCCATCCATCCACCCATCTGTCCATTTATCCATCCATCCATCCATCTTCCTAGTCATTTTTCAATATGAACATCCAAAGATGAATAAGATACAGTCCCTTCCCGCACCTGCATGAATAAGATGTAGACGAAGAAGGTCAGATGCTAGTGAAGGAGACAGACACGAAAACAAAAATCTGCAGCATGATCTTGTAAGCAAAGCTACTGTGGGAGCACAGAGGAGGGGCAGCTAACCCAGACCTGGGAAAGGAAGGCTTCCCAAAGAAAGTGGTTTGGAGGGTTTTCGTTTTTGTTTTCTTAAGCATAATTTTGACTCTTCGGGAGATAGGGACAAAGGGTTCTAGACTTCGAGAGGTGTATGTGCATGGTCATGGAGGACCAGGAGACGGAGGAGAATTTGGGGTACAGGGCTGCATTGCTGGGACTTGGAGGTGACTTGAGAATCACAAGCGATGAAGCTCTAGAGGTAGGCAGGGGTCATATCAATGAGGGCCCTTGCGGGTCATGATCAAGGATTTGGGCTTGGCTGTTTATTGAGAGGGAGCCGCAGAAAGAGTCTGAGAAGGAAATGATCATCTGTTTGGGATTTTAACAAGTTCTCCTGAGTAGTAGTAAGGCTTGTTCGGAAGAGGGGGAAATCAAAAGCAAGGCTAGCAGTTAAGAGGGCTCCTGAGTAATCAGTGTGGCTGTGTGAGGACCCAGTTAAGGGTAAGAGTCATATTGGAGTGGAGGACATAGATGTGAGGTCTAATCAACAGGGTTTTGTGGTTAGATGCTTATGAAGGCCCCAGGGGCTCCAGCTTGGGTAACTGGTCAGTCAAAATGACCAATCAGTGCTGAAAGAAATAAAGACGAGAGGACCATTATGCAGAAGGGGGTGTGTTTAGATTCAGGATTTCTAAACTACTGGGGTCCCTCAAACATATTTTGACAACTAGTAGCAGTAGCTGGTAATAACCCTAAGACCATGAGTCAGGCACTGTACAAGGCGCTTCATGTGTGCCAGCTCATGTAATTCCCCACAGAAGTGCTTGAGGCTAGTACCCTTGGTCAACCTATAATAAGGAAACAGAGG